AATTGGCAAAAAGCAGTGGAGATTCCTACCATCTTTGATGATTACAATCATAATATGAATGGGATTGACCTAGCAAATCAGTATAGAGCATCCTATGAGACTCATATGCCCACTAATCGCACCTGGTTGACAATTCTGTACTGGATTATTGATCATGCCATTGTCAATGCTTATATTCTTCATCGACTGGCTACTACTGGCACTACTGGCACTACTGACACTACTATATCTCACGTTGAATTCCGCCGGCAGCTCTATATTCAACTCCTAAAATTCTCAAATCCTCTACCTACTACTCGATCAAATCCGGATCTAAATCACCAGCGAATTTCTCTGCCATCTTCTCAAACTTGTGCCTGGTGTCAGTATAAAAGAAAGAGAGAAGAAGGGAATAAAGGAAGAGCTCCAAGATCAAGATATGGTTGTGCAGCATGTAACAATATTGCTCTCTATTTGAAGAGAGGATGTTGGAAGGAGTTCCATTCCAATGATATTAATTAGGGCTAGATCAATAGATTACATAAATTACACTAAAACACGCCAATACGGCCGATCTCTCATATAATCCAGTAGTTTTCGCGTATTTAATACGCTAATGTACACGCTAAAAAATACGCTAATTGTGTCCTCGCGGCCAGACGAGGGGATACCCTGCCAGCGGCTAGACCAGGAAAAAGACTATCCCCTCGTCCATAGGTTTGTGCAAAATTAGCGTGGTTTCAATTAGTGTATGGAATTCTGCACCGGCGCCCTGGGCATAACCAATAGAATTCTATATAATTTTATATGAATAATAATTGGTAATTTAGATCCACTGATTGAAGATCCCATGTAAATCTTAAGAATGTGTATGGAATTCAACGCATTTGAAGCCCTGCCTGTCTGCCTGCCTGCTTGATTCTCATATATTCACCCACCTATCCCCCTACCCGCGAATATGGAACCCCCCAAACATGCGAACGTGGAATCCACTGAGACACCTACTAAATCCAATGGTGAGTTCCTTATATTAATCAATTCAGATGACCTAGCTAACTAATTCATTCTCTAGTTCATACAAAAACATCAAGAAAATGAAAACGGCCTGTTGAGGAGGTTATTGCAGAACTTCCACCTCTAGAATCAGTGAAATTCCACCCAATACTGCCTATCTCATGAGATCCAATTCTCAATATTTCTGCAAATATCAATATTAGCAGTCCATACACCCTGTTTACCTTATTCTTCTTTGAGAAATGCTTTCAAAATATCAGTAATTCTACTAATCTCTATGCAAAATTAAAGAGAGATACTAGAGATACTGATGATGAAGCTCCAGAGCTTTCAGAAATGGAGGAGAATGAGAAAGCTCAAGATATAAATATAGAGATTTCTGAAATATCTATATTCTCAAAGCCTTCTATTCAGCAATTTTCATGGGAAAATATCAATCCAGTGGAGATAAAGGTCTTTATAGGCATTCTTCTCTATATGGAAGTTCATAAATCCCATTGAACTGATTTATACTGGCGGAATGATCTGAAACAAGGCTCTATTCATTCCATTCAATCCTATATGACCCATACACGTTTCGAACAGATTAAATGATATATCCATATATCTAACCCTCATGAGGCCCGCCGCCCGGAGGCTAAAAATAAGGATTGATGGTATAAGGTAGAGCCATTAGCTACTAAGTTTCATATGGCATGCTGAAAATACTATACCCCTGGCTCTAAGATTTCCATTGATGAGATTATGGTTAAATGCTTCGGACGGAGTCAACATATATACAAGATGCGTAATAAACCAATTCCTTGAGGATATAAGATATTTGGCCTAGCAGAACATGGCTATTTATGAACTTTTTCCTGGTCTAGCCGCCGGCAGGGTATAATGCCTATGTTTCAATTCCCTATGTTAACAAAAACCGGATCTATAGTGGTGAATCTGGTGAAGCGGCTTCCTATGGTATCTACGCTGAATACGCTGAATACCATGCCGAATGCCACCCCCAATATCGACCCTAATATCACCCATAATATTGGCCCTAATATCAACCCGAATATCACCCCCCTGAATGCTACACCGAATGCCACGCCTAATGAAATCTCTATCTCACAGCTGGTCATATTCTATTCAATTTATATGGATAACTACTTTACATCAGTTCCTTTATTCAAAGAACTACATCAACAGAGGTATGAAGCATGTGGAACCACTCATCCAAACCAGGTTCCAGCAGTACTAGGTGAGCTTCGAGAGCATTCAAATTCCATACCCTGGAATACCCTGCATGCCATTGAAAAAGAGAATGTTCTCTGTCTTGCTTGGCAAGATAATAATATGGTATTGGCACTAACTACGATTCATTCATTGGACGCAGTTATTAAATGTACTCATAAATGCCCAGGGGAACTCTCAACCCATGCCAATATTGTTAGAAAAGTCTTTGAAGATTAACCACAAAAGAAGCTGAAAATCCCATTGATTATAGATGATTATAATCATCATATGAATGGGGTAGACCTAGCAAATCAATACCAGGCAGCATATACTAGTCATAGAGTCACCTATCACACCTGGCTTCCTATTCTCTACTGGCTTATTGATTCCGCAGCTATTAATGCATACCGGCTTCAATATTTATATATAAAGCAGCAGGGGATTCCAGTGAAGGATCTTCCTTCTCAAATAAACTTTCATGAGAAGCTTTACCAGGAACTCTTTGAATTCACATCTAGAATTCATGATAATCTACCAAGGAAATGATCAAATTCTAATCTAAATCATCAATGGATTCCTCTTCCAAAGCAGCGTGTTTGTGCCTGGTGTCAATATAAACGAAAGATTGGCCAGCAGAAATATAAAAAGATAGGGAGATCAAATTCTGGCTGTTCAGAGTGTCAAAATATCCTTTTATGTTTGAAAACTCAATGTTGGGCGGAATTTCATAGTATATCCTAATATCTATTTACGCGGATCCTTAATTAGGGTTTATATATTACACTAATACCAATGAATACTCAAAAATACACTGATTATTCAATGATATCTCGTATAATATACACTAATGAAACCACGCTAATTTTGCACAAACCTACGGACGAGGGGATAAATAGCCATGTTCTGCTAGGCCAAATATCTTATATCCTCAAGGAATTGGTTTATTACGCATCTTGTATATATGTTGACTCCGTCCGAAGCATTTAACCATAATCTCATCAATGGAAATCTTAGAGCCAGGGGTATAGTATTTTCAGCATGCCATATGAAACTTAGTAGCTAATGGCTCTACCTTATACCATCAATCCTTATTTTTAGCCTCCGGGCGGCGGGCCTCATGAGGGTTAGATATATGGATATATCATTTAATCTGTTCGAAACGTGTATGGGTCATATAGGATTGAATGGAATGAATAGAGCCTTGTTTCAGATCATTCCGCCAGTATAAATCAGTTCAATGGGATTTATGAACTTCCATATAGAGAAGAATGCCTATAAAGACCTTTATCTCCACTGGATTGATATTTTCCCATGAAAATTGCTGAATAGAAGGCTTTGAGAATATAGATATTTCAGAAATCTCTATATTTATATCTTGAGCTTTCTCATTCTCCTCCATTTCTGAAAGCTCTGGAGCTTCATCATCAGTATCTCTAGTATCTCTCTTTAATTTTGCATAGAGATTAGTAGAATTACTGATATTTTGAAAGCATTTCTCAAAGAAGAATAAGGTAAACAGGGTGTATGGACTGCTAATATTGATATTTGCAGAAATATTGAGAATTGGATCTCATGAGATAGGCAGTATTGGGTGGAATTTCACTGATTCTAGAGGTGGAAGTTCTGCAATAACCTCCTCAACAGGCCGTTTTCATTTTCTTGATGTTTTTGTATGAACTAGAGAATGAATTAGTTAGCTAGGTCATTTGAATTGATTAATATAAGGAACTCACCATTGGATTTAGTAGGTTTCTCAGTGGATTCCACGTTCGCATGTTTGGGGGGTTCCATATTCGCGGGTATGTATGTATGTATGTATGTATAGGTTTAACGTCCCGGAGAAAACACGGGCAGCGCCCGTGTTTCAGAAGCCTCCCGAAGGGCATGGAGACGTGCTACGCTGGAGAGATTTCTATGTACACAGAGAGAGAAAACAGAATCCAGGTGGCAACTCTTGAGAAGACTCAGCTCATTGCAAAGGATTTTTCTGAGCTGCGCATCCACTTCTGGCCCGACGTATGGCCATTCATGGTGGGGCTATAGTGTGGTTCCCTGAGGGGACCGCCGCTGCCGTGCCTGGAAGGCTTTATAGTGAGCAGAGAGGGATACCTCTCTCAGTTGATCAGAAAGCTGTCTGTGCTTCTAACATCAGAAGAAAGACAGACAAGATAAATAATGAAGGAGAGAGCACCGAAGAAGGTGTGACAGGAAAAGAGCAGAGAATGACAGAGAGCGCAAAGAAAAGAAGAAGAAGCATTTGAGCCGATAGAGACAAGGGCAAACGAGAGGAAAACAAAGCAGAGCACGCGTAGATACAATGCCGGCAGTCAAAACCATATCAGCTGAGTCAGACACGTAGACTGTACTGATTACACCACAGCTAATTGAGACAGATGAGCCTAGTTGTGCTATCTGTACTGTCTGCATAGACTGTGATGTCCCTGGCAGTTGCACTAGCTATCGTGGGTGTACTCAGCAGGCCGGCCTCGTGGAACTGCTGCGGGGGTTGTCAGATGGTTTGCAGCCAGCCGGCTGCGTTACCTTGTGCAGTACCGTGTGTAGAACTGCGTGCAGTCCAGCAGTTCTACAAAGTCTGTAGGGGTCAGAGACCCTAGATAGGCAACAGCTGTCGCCCGGTTGTGTGGCCGTGCTGCTGGCCTCTTGGGCCAGTGAAGAAAGTGCCTCTGTGAGTGTCGACAGAGCACCAAATGTTCTGGGCTCTTGTTGTGTCCACAGACACAGGTGAGCCTCGCATCTGCATGCTGGAAACGCCTGTGGTACCAGGAGAAGTCCCCATGAGAGGAGCGGAGTGCGAGCCAGCGGTGAAGGGCATGCCGTGGCATGGTGAGCTCCGGAGGGGCCTTCACTTGGTATTCCACAGTCGGCCTGCTGAAACTCCAGCCCCGGTACCAGTCAGAGAGCTTGCCACAGGCTCCACTCCACCACTTTCGCCTTGCCTCTTGGCTGAGCTGCTTGGCCACTGTGCGGACCCCACTGACTATGGGTGTGGCCTCGAGACCATAGGCTGGGGCTGCAGTGGATGAGACTGCCCGCTTAGCCAAGCGGTCTGCTTCCTCATTGCCCTCTATCCCCATATGCCCAGGAGCCCACTTCAGGCCGACATTGTGCTGTCTGAGGAGCTCATGGCAGCGGTTGTAGGCCCAGTTTGAGGAAGCTGCTGCACTGCCCCGTATGCCCCAGATGACTGAGGTGTTGTCGAGGCAGAGCCAGATCTGAGGGTTGCTGCTGTCCTCTGTGACACAAGGTAGGAGCTTCACGGCGCACTCCAATGCCCGGCAGGCACCAACTGCCTCAGCGTCGAAGACATGTGACATAGGGCTCAGCGCAGCTGAGAAGCTGGCCAGCTGTTTATTTCCCTGATAGACTATGAAGCCATAGCCCACCTGCCTGCTGTTGTCAAGGCTCCGTTCTGATCCATCTGAGAAAACATATAGATCTGTTGAGGGTTGACTTCTCCACCATTCCTTGAATGCCTGAGCAGCATTCTTTTTGTCTACACCCTCTGTGGGGTCTGTCCCGCATCCCTCTGAGTAGTGTGGGATGGCAAGTGTGGGTCTATTGACTGCAGGTAGCAGCGCCCCCAACCGCTGGATCTTGGTCTTTGAGCGCTGCCGGGTTCCAGCCCCTCTTCCTCGTGTGATCATTGGAGGTGCTATCCGTGAAGCCAGTGGGTGCTTCTCATCCACCACCTGAAGCCTTGTGGCGAATCGAATTTTGGCCTCCTCCAGAGCTACCATTGCTGATGGGAGCCCAGCATCCCGGTATAGGGTAGCGATGGGCGTTGTACGGAAAACTGGGAGGACCCCTCTGGCTGCCATAGTAAGCACCTTCTCAACTGTCCCCACATGCCATCCCAGGCGGGAGCTAACCTCCCCACTCCTGCCCGTGTGCCTTGCTGGCTGCGTGCGGCCGCCGTACCAGGCCTCTGTGCCATAGAGCAATGAGGGAACCACGCAGGTGGTGACCGCCTTCCGCAGAGCGTCTGCTGGGGGCCCGTCTCTGGTCTTTCCCAGACTCCGGATGTGCTGGGCTACGGCCCTTGCCTTCTTTGCCCGGGTGGAGACATGTGGTCTCCAGGTGAGCCTTCTGTCGAAGTGTACACCCAGCCAGCGAAGTGCTGGCTCCTGTCCAGCTGGGGCAGTAACAGGGTGAACAGTGAGGTCCTCAGACACAACTACTGCTGGTGCCTCATTGTGTCGCTTTCTTGTAAGATGGATCATCTCAAGTTTCTCTGGTGCGAAGGCCACCTTGTTTATCTCCCCCCACCTCAGAATACTCTGTATATCCTGTCTGAGAAGGGTGGCATTGTTGTCAAGTGAGTGGGTCGCCCGCCAGATGTTCAGATCATCCGCATAGCCAAAGCGCAACTCCGAGTTTTGCCACAGCAGCTCTGCCAGGTACAGAAGGAACAGTATTGGTGACAAAGGAGACCCCTGTGGCGTGCCACATTGCATCTGATGTGCTGCTGTGGTGGTCCCCTCCAGCCGGACCTGAGCTCTGCGTTCAGTGAGGAAACTGTCAATGAGCTGCAGCAGCTCGCGTGGCCACCCCTGCTGCGCCATCCGCTGAAGCAGCCGCCTGCGCAGCACAGCATCAAAGGCACCCTGCACATCCATTGTGACCATGGACACTTCCTTGTTTTGTGCGAAGGCTGCCTCCACCTCATGAGTGAAAGCAGCTACCAGTCCATTGCAGATCGTCTGGGCAGCGCCCCCCCATGCTGTGGGCTGACTATGCCGTGAATGAGTGCCGTGTAGGCCAGTCGCCTTGCAATGATGCGTTCCAGCCCTTTGGAGATTACTGAAAGCAGGGCAATGGGCCTCCAGGAGCGGACTGAGCTTCTATCTCTCTTACCCACCTTGGGTATCATTGCCACCTCTGCCAGTTTCCAGGCTCGTGGGAAGTGGCAGAGCCGGAGGCAGCAGTTGTATAGCTGCTGTATAAAGAGGGACACATGCTGCCAGCATGCTTTGAGCATCCGCACTGTGATTCCATCCGTGCCTGGGGAGGTGCTCTGTACCCCAATGGTGTTGCGCTCCACCTCCTCCATCCCAACCCGGGGGTTCCAGGGCAGGTTCCCCATGCCGCTCCAGTGCTCATCATCCAGTGGGTCATACTCCAGATCATCAGCTGAGTTGTATCGCTTCAGAATTGCTTGTTGAAGTGCCTCAGCTTTGGCGGCTGTCTCTTCTATGACCTGATCCCCAATCACCAGAGGGGGTGCTCTGAGGTTGGGTTCCAGCTTATGCCATGCCACCACCCGGTACAGGTCTCTACCATCTCTGGCCTCATTGATCACCTGCCTCCAGTATGCACGCTTGGCCTTGCGCACTGCATCCTTGAACTGGTGCTTCGCGGCCTCTGTCTGGTGAGTGGTGAGCTCTCGGTGCGCTCTTCGGCAGTCTGCTGTCCACCAGGGGGCTGTGGTCCGCCCTTGGTAGGGGGATAGGTGGGTGAATATATGAGAATCAAGCAGGCAGGCAGACAGGCAGGGCTTCAAATGCGTTGAATTCCATACACATTCTTAAGATTTACATGGGATCTTCAATCAGTGGATCTAAATTACCAATTATTATTCATATAAAATTATATAGAATTCTATTGGTTATGCCCAGGGCGCCGGTGCAGAATTCCATACACTAATTGAAACCACGCTAATTTTGCACAAACCTACGGACGAGGGGATAAGAGCCCCCTTCATACAACCTTTCCTTTTGATCTCTTTTCTCTTTCTTTCCTTAATCAATTTGTAATCTGTATTTAGAATAATGTTAGATTGTTAATTGATGTATGTCTGTTACATTATAAATTGATTCATCTGTGTCGGCCTGAGTGCCCTATGTTTATGATTGCACCCAGGTGCTCAAGTTAAGAATAAGTTACCAAGTTTCTACAAAACTGTGTTGTTGTGATAACATCTGTAAATTCTAAAGTCCTATGAAGCTGCACCATTGTGATAAATGCTGTGAAGAAATCTGAGTGTTTAAGAACTTTATAATTGTGTGTCTGTGAAGAGATCAGAGTGTCTATAAAATATTTCCTCTGAAGAATAAGAACTGAAGCTCCTGGTCTTCAAGTTATCAGAATCAAAAACCATGGCCTTGTATGAAAATGAAATGAACTATAAACATCTCTTCATGAGTGAGAACTGAAGCCTCACTGAAGATAATGCTGAATTTTATAATTTCTTTCAGCAACAATTCTTGCAGATAGTGAAGCTTCAACAACAATTGAATCATCTGAATATGAATACATCAGAAACTGCACAAGCATCAACACTCTCTGCATATAAAAGAAAAGAACGCCTCCCTCTTCTTGACAAATTCATAGAAGAGCTTTCAATTTATCTAATTTGAAAATGAAAGATAAAAATCAAGCTTGAAAAAAATGGATTTGTGATAGATTTTCTGCTCTTACAAGTCAGCTATATTCATAATCAGCTAAAAGAAGATGCTTTAGTGAAGTTTCAACTCTGAATTGAATCATATATGCATGAAATGTGTATCTCTAAAAAAGTCTTTCATCAATTAAATGTTCTATTCTTGAATTCTACACTGCAAGTGTGTGCAATACAGTGGCTGAACAAAAATCATCAGAGAAATACCCTTTTAGTGAACTATCTGCCTGATTTTGATAGTAAGATTTGTGAAGCAGAAGAATAGAACTGAGATGATGCTGTCAAGATCAATTTTCTGAGCCAGTATATTAACTTTGAACTGTTCAAACTCTACATCTTGCATCTCATACCCACACATTACCACAACTACTGCACCCACTTACATCAACTCGACAACAACCTCGCACATTTCAATGCTGTTCAAGAAAGATGTAATAATCATAGATAGAACTTCATACCTACAACTGCATCAACAGCTCTCATAGATGCTATGAATTGAACCTTTCATTTGAGTACAGAATGATCAAGAATATCTGATTTCTTTGAATAAAAAGTTACTGATCAAATCATTTGAGAAGTTTGCATCTGTTGCAACAGACTGAGGCACTTTGCAAGTCAATGCATCAATGCAGTGGTCTCAGCTCCTACATTATATATAAATGCAATTATATTTATGAATAAACAGAAATAGAAAAAAGAAGAGCTCTCACTTTAAAATGCAGATGAAAGTTCAAAGAGTAAGAAATTAACTGAAGATTTGAGTAGAAGATGCAAATGAATGCAATCATCATCTCTGTCATTATAAATAACTTAATCAACACACAAGCAATGATAGACAGTAGTTTTCTTCATTACACTTTTATAAATATTCAATTGATTGAAAAGCATAAACTTCAGTGTATCTTCTTTTCTGAACTGTGTAAATTCAGTGAATTCAACAGCCTTAGAGGATCCGCCTTCTACAACATAGTAAGATTTAATGTTGATGTAGAGGAGCATGAGAAAAAGAATGTTTATGTATATAAAGTACAGAACCTTGAATATGATCTAATACTTAATCTGTCATAAATTACAGAATTTGAAACCTTATTGAATATATGCAATCACTGTTTTATTTTCTCAGAAGATGACTGTGTCTATGAAAAGAATGTTGATAGAACCACTGATCTCACTCAAGTATCAGTGAAGGCATTCAAGTTACTAACTCATCAAGCACACAAGAAAAAGGACGTCCAAGTGTTTACTGTTAACATAGCAGATATCAAGAAAATGTTAGAAAAGTTAGAATTCAAGAATCTCAAGAAATCTGTAATGTGACGGCGCCGAGGCGGTTGCTACTCGGCAGCGGCACAGAGGAGGATGGTATATAATGGGAAGCCTTATGGGTGGGCTTGATTATCTCGCTTGAACCGCGAACTCGTAGAATACTATACAAATACTGAACTACCAGAGGTACTCGGCACACTAAGAATATTGTATGAGGACAGTGGTAACTCTGGTATCTTATTGTCAAAAGATAAAAGACGAATCGCTGGCTCCTGGAATAGAGAGCCAGCATCTAGCTATTCTATATAGACAACGGGCAGCCATCCTCCCCTCACTCTATGAGCGAGGGTAGCCGAAGCAACTCCGCAGTGGCGCTGCATTGATCTGCCAGAAGGAATCCAGACCCCGTATAGAAACAGGATTCTCATATCTCATCAATCGGATCCTCTTCTAATGCGATCCGAATGATGTCATAGGGTGGTTGGAAACCGGTTCGGACACCTGC